CGTGGTGACGCTGGTGATTTGGAAACTACTCTTCTTCTTGCCCCCACTCATGGTCCCTGGGGCTCAGGATGGGGCCAAAGTGGGCGGGGGATGGGGCGGTAGTGGCTCTTCGAAGGGGCTCAGGCACCCCTAGAACAGGGGAGCCACATGGCGGGGACATCGGGGCCCCTGGGGACGTCTGGGTCCGACATGGTGGGAGGGCCTTGCAGGAACTGGGGGTGCCTGGCTGGTGAAGGGAGAACAGGGGAGGGGAGGCGGCGAGAAGCGGGAGCAGGGGCAGGTTTTTCCTGCTGCTGTCGCTGCCGAACTCCAGAGCTGAGTTTGCAAACTGGAAAAAGAGTGAGAGAGTGTGTGTGTGAGAAAGCAGTGGGCAGGCCACCTCCGGGCCTTCCTCTCTGGGGAGCAGGATGGGGGAGGAAGGGGAAACCACCAGAGACAAAGAGACAGACCGAGATGACAGAGACCAGAGGAGAGAGCCGTCAGCGCGGGCGCGCGGAGCAGGAAGAGGCAGCCCAGACCCAAAGTTGGGCATTTCTCGGCTGGGATTCCAACTCACGGGACTCTAACGCGTCCCGGGAGCAAAGGGCTCCGGGGCTTGGTGACCGGGGGATAAGCAGCTCCTCGGCCTGGCAGGTCCTCAAGGCCCCCCGCACCCCAGCTCCCCCATTCCTGGGGCAGGCCCGGCCCCCCGCCCCAACGCCCCGCCCCGCCCCGCGCCTTACCTCTCAGCAGCGCGCGGGGCGCAGGCGGCGCTTAGAGACGGCCCAGTCCGCTTCGGGGGCCGCACCTCGCCCCGCAAGGCATCTCCGTGGAAAGTTTGCGCTCCGGAAAGAGAAGGAACCCCCGCCTCCTTGGTGGAGCCCAGGCGCGGCCTCGGAAGCCCCAAGTGTCTCGGGGCTGATGCGGGCGGGGCGGCTCACCCCCTGGTCCTGCAGGTGGAGCCACTTCGGTGGTCGCGGCGAGCGGGTCTCTCTAGTCGCCTCCCGCGTGGCACCAATGGGTCTCTTTGCCGCTCGGCTCCTTTTGGTTCGGTCTCACCGTCTCCCTCTTTCTGGGCTGTTGACAACCCCCACACCAGGAAGTCCTGCCTCCTCGGGCCTGCTGACTGCTCCTCTCCTCCTCCTCCTCCTTCCCCTCTTCCTCCCCTTCCTCCGCCCTCTCTCCCTCCTGGGGCTCCGGGCCAGCTGGCGCGGGGCCAGGCCTGCCGCCGCCGCCGCTGGTGCAGCCGCACTTGCCGCTGCCGCTGCCGCTCCTGCTCCTGCTCCTGGGGCCCCGGCCCAACTCCCTTAACCCCACACCTGCTGGGCCCAGCGCAGCCTTTCCTCGTTGGGAGAGGCTGTGGAGGGCGGAGAGAAAGGGGCGGAGCCTGCAAAGCGGCCAGGGATTTCCTTACTTGTAGGCACTTGCTGCCTTTGGCCTGCAGGCACCGCGGAGCGGGGAACTGATAGGAGCTCTACGGTACCTACCACCCCGTGAACACCCTACCGATGTCACGGTGCTGCTGAAGCTGTTATTGTCCCATCTTTGCTAGCTTTCACTGTCACTGTATGAGGAAGGTATTGTTATTCTCCCCTGTCCCTCCCTGTTTTGAAAAGTGGATTATGATGACAAGTTTTAAAAATGCCCCAAGTAAAGAGAATGGTATAACGGACTCCCAGGTACCCCTCGTGCAGTTTCAACAATTATCAACTCACAGCCACTCTTGTTTCATCCACATCCCCTGTTGTTCTGTGTGGGATTATTTGAACCAAATCCTAGACATCATATTATTTCCCTCCTTCGCTGTGGAAATGGAGACTCAGAAGGTTCAGAAAGGGTATCTGGGAGAGCAGAGGCATTCACATACTCAGGTGTGTCCTTGTCTGTCCCCCATATAGGAAAACATCATACATGTACACACAACCACCTACACTGGTGCACCTGAGGGTGAACTGCTGGTCCCAAGCACGGGTTCCTCTCCCACCTCTCACATGTCCCGTTTCTCCCATCCCTCGCTCGAGGTGGAGCCACCTCAGTGGTCGGGGGATGGGTCTGCCAAGTCTCCTCCCGCTATGGGGAATCCACACACACTCATCAAGAGCCAACCACATGGTTGGCGTGAAAGAATAAACCTCCAACTGCCATTGTCTCTTTTTTGGCACCCCAACCAACATTCTAAGAGGAATTATTTTAGCAAAAGCCACCTCTGCCTTCATTCCTAGGTGCAGAAAGAAATGAATTAAAATTAATTTTGATCAAACAAAACTGTTCCTGAGTATATTAAGAATCCCTCATATTTGTTCTCTTCACATAAATTATCTGGTAGATTCTCAAACAGACCTGGGCAGAGACTGGATGGGTTTTGAGTTCCAATGTTTCTGCTAATGAAACTGCCCAAGGCCTCAGCTAGTAGGAGACTAGCACTGGGCTGTCTGACATCCCTTCTTCCTCAGCTTTAGCTCCTGAAAATTTTTAACCAATATTTAGGATTAGGAATAATTAACCCTTTGCGGTCGTATTAAATTTGGACATGGGTGCCGTACTGGTCGGAATTAATTTCCATTGAAAGAGCAGTGATACATAACTTGCAAGATTATGAAGGATAAACAGGATTTATTAATTCTTTTTGGGAACTACGTCACTACTAGTAGAATCACTACAAACGTTATCACTTTCTACGTCAGAGTCAGTATTCAAGGTGCCAAAATAAAACTCTTCATCGTTACTTTCAGATTCGCAGTACACTTTCGGTAACTTTCTTTTTGCCATTTTGGAGTATTATTTTGAAATATCTTAACAAGCGAGAATGCCTAATTACAGTTAAACGTAATTTGTAAAGCTTTATCTGAAATTCTGTGAAGTATCTCCGAAGCTTGTCGATTTCTTCACTCTCAAAAGGCGACTGACTCGCCACGGTGTTTTGCATGGCGAGTGTGGAAGGACTGCGTTTGTTTATATTGAGTTTTGATATCTCTGATTTGTCAGGGCAGTGTTTTGGTTTGTGACAAGGTCGCTTAGACACGTAAGAGTTTTCAGAGAAATTATGAACTGATACATGAATGAACAGAGTTAAGATTCGTATAGTTCCTTTCTGTGGTGGCTGAGAGCAGACATACAACCGGAACAGTAAAAAAGCTTTGGTGGCTGAGAGTGGACAAACGACCGCAAAGGGTTAAATGATGCAAAGCCCCTTGGGCCCCCATGCTTATATATTTATCATGTATCTCTTTGTTAAAATGCGTCTGCACTCCTGCCTCTCTCCCTTCATGGTAACAATGGCTACCATAGCCAGGTTCTGAGGCCTCCCAAATATGAAGTCCAAGAGGCAGCCCTCTACGCCCCCCCCCCCCAAAAAAAAACTCTCTCCCTCTGGCAATATTCAGAACATATTCCTCTTGCTCCACCTCCAGATTCTTCTTTCAGCTCTGCTAGTTACAGACTATTCAAAACCCATCTTTAGACCCTCCCCTACCCATGGCTTTAGATCCTCTGTGTCATTTTGGACTTCTCTGAGTCTATAGTCCTAGCGAGGGTATTGGTCTCTACAGAAATGTTTGTTGAACCAATCAATAAAAACTCATTCACACTAAGGTGTAAAAGAAAAAAAAAACCTGTTGTTTTAATGTATTACCTCTCTTGGGTGCATTTATAACAGCCCTTTAATGTATGGGGCCCTTTACACTTGTATCCATTACTGCCCCCAACATTATTGAGGTAGGTATGAGATGAGGCAACTGTGAGAGGTTGCGCTATTTGCCCAAAGCCACACAGCACATTTTGAGAGACTGCCATATAAAGTAAGATTCACAGTTTCCAGGGATTAGGGCGTGGGTATCTTTTGGAGGTCCATTTTTCAGCCGGTTAAGGGTAGAACTGAGGTTTTCTTGCAGCTAACCTGCACCAAAGGTAACTCCAAAGCAGGAATTTCTCATGGAGCTGATGAGAAAAGTGATGGTGGAAGGGGGCGAGGTCTCAGCCCTGAGCGACCATCCGGCCTTGGCCAAGGTGGCTGCAGTCAGACCTATCCAGAGCGCCCAGGTCCGGGCGGGCTCCGCCCCTGCAGTCAAAGGTTGCAGGGAGGATGACTTGGGCTGGGGGGGCGGCCTGGCCCAGACTGGGCCCAGAAAGTGAAAGGAGGCCCAGGCGCCTGGGAGGCTGGACGGATAGAGAACCAGCACCCAGCGAGCCAGCACGGTGCCCTCCCGCACCTGGGGGGGCGGCGGGAAGCTGGCGTCCAGCCAGTGGCGCACGCCCCCTGCTGGGCAGAGACAAGGAAGGATCCGCTCCGGTCTCAGCGCCCCCAGGCCCAGAAAGCGGCCCCCCCTGCCGGCCTCG